TCCTCAGAGTCCTATTCAGGAACGATTAGTGAGCTCACAAGATGTGCTAATTATCATGATAGCAAAGAAACCCTGGGCTACTTCAGGCAGCTATGTAACATTACCTCATTCATCAACTTAATCTGAAATCCCTCATCCTCCACACCACAGCTCCTAAAAGCTGCTCCAAATTTTCTCTCCTCTGAGAGATCTCCTCTCTCTGCCAGGCTGAGTTACAAGACCACATTTTCCCAAGATCAAACAAGTATATCCACAGACAGCTGTCCTCCAAGGCTTCTACCTTCCCCAGCAGGTTTATAGGCAGGAATCCACCCCCCACCTCCTCTTCACCACACTGAAATCTCATTTGGAAGAACTCTGCATTCCTCAGATCACAAGCAGCTCTTGACAGGCTCATTGAGGTGTTACACCCCAAAACTCACCCTTTTCCTGCTCTGGGAACAGCCACATGGAAACTATTCTGCTCACAAGGACCATCTTTAAATTCAATATAGGCTAAACTCAGGTTCAGTAATGAAGGAAACGTTTGGACATTAAGTGGTCTGCAGCTACTTCAGGGATCCAGGTTCCCTCTGGTGTTTCTATGAGGTTTTAGCCTGGGGGTGGAAAACAAAGCAGCCCCAGCACTCCTTTGACTGTAAACATTTCAGAGTAACAGCAAGAGTGAGGAACATTAACAAAGACAATTACTGTTCAAAAGATAATTTGGCTAATTCTGCAACAACAGGAAGGGGTTTCAGATCATGAGGGAGCTCTTCCGACCACTTCACTGGGTGCCAAAGACCGGTTCTCAGAAGAGAATCCCAAGCTTGTCTCCCCAAGATGACAAGCAGACCACAGCTACACACTTTGCTTTCCAGTACATCCTTTTTGTGGCAGGAGGCCAAATGCTCATTCCAAGACAGCTGTGGCCTGCATAGCTCCAGTTGATTACAGAGATGAACAACACTATGTCCAGGCTCTTGGAGGGTCAGGCAGTGGTTCATCACAAACCTTGGACATTTTTTTTTTATTTTTCAGGTGAAGTTGCTTCTGGCTGAGGATGCCAGAAATTCTTCTCTCAAATACTCTGAAGAGCCCAGGCTTGGCATACGATGTGTTTGCTTTGAACTGCTGCCTGGCCAGAGTCACACATGCCATCACACACAGATGATGTGTGTGTCCTCACATCTAGGCAGACATTAGTCCCTCACCCATTGTGAGCAAGGCATCTGTGTTATTAAGGCACAAAACTGTCCTCCAAAAATGAGGCAGCACACATGAAACTGGTGGCAAATGCAGCAGCAACCTGTACAGTGCACACAGCAGTGAATACCCACACAAGCTAATGAAGCTGGTTTACTCAGAAAAGTACTTGGTTCTTTCTGCTGGTGACCTCAGAGCCCTCATTAAGCAGGCTGTACACTGAGGCTAGATGTTGCTCTGACAGACACACACAAGGTTTAAGGAGCAGGAGGAGTTACCATTAAGCTTGTTATGCAGGAGCAGCTCCACACTCCTGCCCTTAAGCAAGGGAGCAGTTCTGCACAGCCTGCCTGGAGCAGAAGGCTGGGGAAACCCATTTTGGATCCTGGGGTGGGGGTGAGAAAGAACAGGAAGATTTTCCAGGGCAACTCTCTCCACACAACCCATTTCCAAGTCACTCATCTCACTGCACTCATGAGAACGGATCTCAATACGTACAAAAAGAAATGTTTATCTGCTGTGAGGGCACGCGGCTCCCAGTGCCCAGAGATGCTCCTCCATTCCTCAGCACACTTTGGCCTTCAGTTTTGTTACTGGAGGTCTTGGAGAAAGAGAGTGCTACTGACATTCTAGTCTGGCTGGCTTTATTTTAAAGACATACGAAGTACATATAGAATTGTCATGGCAACTGCTAATTATGGTAATTGCTGCACATGCTGCTTTTAAACACAAGAGGGTACAAGCATCCCGTTATACCAAGGTCAACCGGCCACCCTTTTTTTGGAACAGATAATTCCAAGACAGAAGGAGCCCTGTTTCATTCACTACACAAAGGAGAACATGGAACAGACACTCTGTGTTTATCCCTATTCTTTATTTCCCTATTTAACCCAATTCTCCGCACCTAAAGGTGGCGCTTGGACCACACCACCCAGCATCCCAGCTCCAGCCAGGATCCAGCCTCCATGTTGTTCACTGCTCCTGGTGTGGCTTCAGGCAGTCCCTTTCCTAACCTCCCTTGGGGAATAATGACTTTATCATCACCCTGCCCCATATCCTTCAATCTGCACAAATAACCTCCCTGCACAGAAGGGAGGAGGAGGAGGCACTTCCTCCAACGGTCTCTTCTTTCCAGAGGAGTTCACAAACAGCATTCACTGCATCTGGGATTTCCCTTCTCCTGCCTTTGGGGACAGCTCTGTTCCCAAAGAATGGGAATGTTCCCTCATTCCCAAGGGAGGAACAGCAGTCCAATGTGATGGTGTTTCAGGAGGTTTCCATGGGAAGCACCTGCTGGCAGAGGATCAGCAGGCCAGGCCACCCTTCCAGGAGGCTGAAGCATCACATGAAGAAAGAACCCCCCTGTCAAATTACCTGCAAGGTCTCAGCATCCGGTACTGCTTGCTCCTCCAGGGTAACATCAAAAAACAGCTTATTGATGATGTGTCTTTTGCTGACCTAAACACAGGAGACAGAAGAGTTTGACGGGCACAAATATGGAAACAACGGATATGGAAGACAGATGGAGGGGGAGAAGGTACTGTCTTGTGACAAGGCCATGAAAGGCAAATCAGATCACGTGATTGACACCATTAGTGGTGATGCTCTGCTTTGGTTCAACAGCACAGCAGCAGACCCCCCACTCAGTTTCTGGGAGCGTGACTCCAGCCAAGCTCCTGAGCCACAGCAGAAAGATTCAGACATTTCTGAATTGAGCGCAGTCTGTTCTCTGGCAGCTCAGCCCCAAGCAGCTGATGCTGAGCTAACATGATGCCAAATCCTAAGACAGAAGTACGTGCTGCTTTCTGCAGGCAGAAGGTGCTGTAATTGAATTTGATAGCTCTCCACACCTCCCCCATGCAGTTACAGCTTTGTGTTTTAAGTATTATATACAGTCATGACACCAGCTAATTGCATGGTTACTGCCACATAAGATGTTATTTCGCGATAACTCCATGGTAACCCAGAGATGTAAGAGGCAGGGAAGAACAGAGGGAATCAACAAGTCAGGGAAGGAACAAGGGCCAGGACCTTGAGAGGAGGAAAGAAGCACGAACACAGAATAAGCCCAAGCAGCAGCTGGCTAAAAATTTACATCTGAGAGTGAGGAAACATCTCCTGCAACCACTATATGCCAAGACCTACTGGCAGCATGAAGGCTGGTAACACAAGGGACTTCAAAGATGTTCAGGTTCCAGTTAAGCCAATGGAAACCCAAGCCTCAGCTTCCTATCTCAGAAGCAGAGCACACCCTTCCTTCTCTCTCCAGCCATCGCTTTTCTCAAGGGAGGGTCAAGTACTGCTAAGCCAGGAGGGGTTGTAAGGCCCACATGCAGCAGAATGGGCTGTTCACCTGACAGCAGTGGGCTGGGCATGCCAGAAACACCAGTCAGGTGTCCTCATTAAGCCCTTGCAGCCCCTGCTGTCATCATGCCAATACTTACCCAGCCTAAGCAAAAGCTGTGAAAACCCAGAGTCCCTTTGGAAAGGAGCTGCAGTGCAGAGAGCGGCAGGCCACCCTCAGCCCACTGCAACCAGAAGGGCTGTGGAGGATAGCTCATCCTCTCAGCCTCTGGGGAGTCCCAAATGACAAAAAGTCCCTCTTCTCTTTACCATGATCCTTCTGGCATCATCCCAGGCTACAGCTCCTTGGTGCCACTGCAGGGCACCGTGCCACAGGTGTGCACGGGGGATGGCTTTACCTGGTTTCTGCACTGCGGGCATGTCCGGCTTGGTGCAGTGTCAAACCACTGGAAGAGGCTGAGAAAGAAAAGGAAAACATATAGTAAATCCATAAAGTTCTGGAGCATTGCTTCCAGGGGCCATCCCCCAGCTCCTCACGAGACAGCAGGATGTGACTCCTCGTCACACACTAAAGCAGAACCGCAAACCTTCAGTCCAGCAGTGCGGCCGGCAGGAGTTCCATGTTCCGCACGCATGCTCCACCAACATCTCCAAGACAATTCCTGGCTGAATTTAGCACGTGAGCTTATCTTTAACAGGGCAGAGCTTTTGCAGAGCTCAGATCTCTCTGGGAGACAGGCTTTGAACAGCCGCAGCTTCGCAGGAGCAAATGGATCCGTGCAGGAGCTGCTCTATCAGGATGTGACAGCTGAGATCCCAGCCCAGTCAGCTCCAAGGGGTGCCACTGAACACGGATCTGTGGAGCCAGGGGCACCGGGCTGGGCTCTGCTCTGGGATGATGAATGCAAACCTGCCGGGCTCCCCAGGAGAGCCACTAATGCATTTTGCAACCAAGCCATCACGTCACACTGGAAAGGTTTATTTTGAGCACAGGGTAATGATTTGGAGCTGGCAGGTTACCTTTGGAAGCTCTCCCTGCTCCACTGGCTGCTGGAAGTGAGCAGGCCCGAGCAGTGCTGCTGAGTGAGAAGTGACAATCACACCCGTGGTCCTCTCCAAGCTCATTAGCCAGGAAAGCAAATGCCCACCCTCTCCTCACACAAAGTTTATTTCCTCAGAAGAACCATTTCCTTTCAACACAGACACTTGCAACACAGTCCTGGAAAAGCATGGAATTGCCAGGACGGCTTCACCATAATCCAACAGCACTCCCTCTAAACACCCTGTGACACTGGCTCTTCCGGAGAAGGGAGCCTGCAGGCAGCATAGTGACAGAATCACAGAATCAATTAGGTCGGAAAAGGTCTGAGATCACCGAGTCCAACCTATGACCGATCACCCAGTCCTTCCTTAAAGGCCTCGAGGGACGGCGACTCCACCACCTCCCGGGACAGCCCTTTCACATGTGCAACCAGCACAGCCCGGACTGCTGCGGCACCTCCGCGAACTCTTCAGAGCCCTCGCGCGGGGCCACAGGAGATGCCCGTGACTGAACACGCCACGGCNGTCGCTGCCGGGGCTGGGGTGGCTGCCGGGGCCGGGGCTGCCGCCGTGTCCGTCTGCTCGGGCGCCCGCAGGCGTTTCATGAGCGTGGTCACTCGCACGGCTTTCTGCGGTGGAGAGACGGGGGTGTGGGGCTGGCGGAGGGGCAGGGACTGGCAGCTTCACCAGGCTCATAGCCCGCCCTATGGTGGGGGACCAGGCTCGGCTGAGAGGGGACACGGGAAGCACGGCACAGCCACACCCACCTTCCACTTGGCCCGGGCGAAGTTCTTCTCGATCTGGGCACAGACGCCATCCTTGATGTTCTTGTCAGAGGCAGCATTCCCAGAGATCCTGGAGAGGCAGTGAAGGGTGAGCAGCCCCCAACAACCCCCCTGATTCCCCATCTGACCCTGCTGCTGCTCACCACTCATGGGAGATGGCCTCCTCCGCTGTGATCCTCTGGTCCTGCTCCACCTCCATCAGGCGTGTCACCAGCTCCTTAGCTGGGGGCACAGGGGGAGAAGTCAGTGCCGGTAGGGGACAACACGGGACCCCACGTACCCCCCAGTGTGGGGCTCACCCGCTTGCGAGATGTCATCCCAGTACGGCGGGTCGAACTCGTAGTCCCCAGCCAGGATTTTGCGGAAGAGGTTCTTGTCGTGGTTCTCGTAATCATCCTCATCTGCCTCCTCGTAGAAAGGGGGGTTTCCCGAGAGGCTGGGGAATGTGGTGGGGAGCTCAGTCCAGCCCCAGCCCCAAGCTCGTGTGGCTACCCTGTCCCTCACCCCACACTCACAGGATGTACATGATGACGCCGATGGCCCAGCAGTCCACCGGCCGCCCGTACCGCTGCCGCCCCACCACCTCCGGAGCTGCGAGAGACAGAAGAGCAACCATCCCCCGGGGTCCCCAGCCACCCGGCCTCTTGGCCCCTCTTGGGGGAGTAGGAGGCACCCACTGGAAGCACCCAGGATCAGCCCACAGGGTGATGGGGAATGGGAAGTGCAGCAGCAGGTAATAAGGAGTGGATGGTAAGGAGCAGCAGGGGCCTGCTGAGACCGCCCCGGCGTGCCCAGCAGCTGGCTCTCACCCACCCAGGTACTCGGGGGTGCCACAGGGCTCCTTAATGAGCCCGTTCTCCAGCTTGGCCAGGTGGAAGTCACTGATGACGATCTTGGAGTTCTTCAGGCGATTATAGTACACCAGGTTCTCCAGCTGCTGGCACAGGGACTGTGAGTGCCAGGACAGGGGGGCATGGCAGCACCCATGGGTGCTCCCACCCCCCTGCCACCCACCTTGAGGTTTCTGTGGACGATCTTGAGTGAGTGCAGGTAGGCAACAGCCTCCAGCACCTGCCGGATGACATTGCTGGTGTCCTTCTCCGAGTAGTAGCCCTGGTCCAGGATCCAGTCGAAGACCTCTCGGCCAGTGGCCCTGCAGACAGCAGCTCTGAGGAGACCCACCCCTGGTGGGGCCACCCCCTCCCTCCTCCAAATCTCCCAAACTTACAGCTCCAGGAAGATGAAATATTCCTTGCGGGTGATGTAGACATCCACCAGCTGTAGGATGTTGGGGTGCTTCACCCTGAAGAGAGACAGGGGCATGGCTGCGAGTTCCCAGATTGCCCAGTAGCACAAGGTCCACTCCAGCCCCAGCACTCACATTTTGAGGATGATGATCTCGTTTTTGGCTGCCTTCCGCACTTTCCGCCCATCCCGTTTCAGAAACTTCTTGCAGGTGTACAACTTGCCCGTCGACTTCTCCTTGGCCCGGAAGATTTCACAGAACTCCTCCCTGCAAGGGTACCCCCAGACATCACCCCGTTCCTGGGGACCACTTAGATTGGAATGTTTGGGTGGTCCCTGGGCCCACCAACATTCCCCTAGATCCCAGCAGTCAGGGAAGGTGCCACAGAACTATAAGAAAGCTGTGGCTCAAAACCACTTTGGAGGGGAAGAAAAAAAAACAGCAGTGAGAAGCAACTGATATGGAAGAAGCAAATTGATAGGGAAGGGGGAGACTTTGCTGTTTAAAAAGCCCCATCCTCAGGACAGGAGGGATAAGACCCACTGCGAAGCCACTCGTGCCAAGGTGGAACAGCAGCAAACCCAACATTAGCATCAGCACAGCAGTCAGGGAGAAAGAAAGGAAGATGTGCCGGTAGCTGCCGTATTTCTGTTCTATTATTAATGGTGCTTGAGCCCATCGGCCAGGCTGGAGCTGCAGGGGAGCCCCTGGGGGGCACTTGGCGCTGCTCCAGCAAAGCCGTTGGCTTTCCAATCCCCCCAACTGCGCTGAAATCCTCATGGCCACTGCCCTGGGTGGAAGGAAACAGTGACCTGTGGGCTTTGGGACAAACTGCCCAGAGGATGGAGCAAAGATCTGAGAGCACCAAGGTCCCCACTGCCACCCAGTGTGACCCTGCCAGGTACGACCTCTGTCCAAGCAGGTGTTTTGGAAGTCGATGGAAAAAATTCTGGTGCCTATTTTGCAGTCAAGCCGCTCTCAAGGGGCGTGAGGGCTTAATTTTTTGGAGCGCATCCTAACAGGTCCTTCAGCATGGCAATAAAAGTTGGGGGAAGCAGCAGTGCTTCACTGCCCCCCAAGTGACATCTGCCTTTCCTTTGCTGTAGCTGAGCCCTCCTGATTCACAAAATGCTCGAGGGAGCCAGGATCGTGTGGAATTGCTGCAATCCCTGCAAATCTTGAGGGGAGGAGGGAGGGATACGGGGAGCTGCCCAGCTGCAGCCAGTAGCAGAGGGAAAGCTCTCTGCCCTCCTTGGAGTTAGCTGTGTACATCCCCCATGCACCCATGAGCAAGAGGGACTAATTAGGGTAAAGCCATCCCAAAATATACCCTGCAATCCCAGCCCAGCTGGGGACAAGCACTCCCAGGGCCCCCACAGGCAGTGTTGTGCCACTCCTCAGCACCCCAAGAGCCCCACACAGGTGGCTGGGGTTCCCCAGGGCATCCGTGGGGCCGTGGAGGGACCAACTCACGTTTTGATGACCTGGCCCAGGTCATATCTGTCGGTCACCTCAGACGGCTGGTTATAATCTTTCTTGTCTCCCAGCGTCACGCAGCCAAACGGCATCGCAGGGCCCGGTGCTGGCAGGGCAGGGAGAGGCAGTGAGTGCCCCGGCACTGCCGGGCCCCCTGGAGCCACAGCAGACCCTCCCGAGCTGTGCTAATTAACGTGGAACCTGAGCACAGCGGCTGCTCGTGCTCTGCAGCTGCCGCAAGCCGCCGTGTGCCCAGCCCCACCGATGTGCATCCATCCCCGTGGCATCCAGCCTTTCTGCCTGGGCTCAGGCTGCCAGCACAGCCACAAGCTGGCCCCTCTGGCCTCTGTTTGTGGATTATTAATAATTAATTAGCAGTCAGGGTTAGCACAGTGCCTGGAGCACCCACTGGGGAGGCAAGCGGAGGTGAACAGATCCTTTCCTGTTTCTCAGCCCAGTTTTGCCCACGGTAACATTTCAGCAGACGGGGCCTCCCCAGGCGGAGCATTGTCACACGTTGTCACATGTGCAGTGGGTTACACCAGTCTCAGCTTCCCATCCCCAACCAGCCCTGACTGGCACCAGGCAGGTGGCACTGCAGCTTGGAGGTGCCAGCCCTCCTGCCACCGGCAGCGGTCAGGACACCAGCCTTGGCACACGCCAGCTTCTCCAGCCCTTTAGGAAGGATGCTTTGCCCCTTGCATCCCTGTTGGGACCCCTTCAAAACCAGATCCTTCTTGGAAGCTTCCCAGAAAAAAAAACCTGGTCACATAAAGTGATTTTTTTTTTCCCTTTCCCACCGTGTTACCAGGAGGAAGTTTCAGCTGACATTATTTTTTGATGGCTCAGAAGATGACAGAGCTGCCTGGGGTCCCCCAGCCCTCTCAGATGGGCCTGAGCGGGACCTTATGATGGGAAGCTGGCACGATGCTGCAGGCACCGTTGCCCAGCGCTAAAGCTCCCCAAACAGCACGCTGTGCCGTGCGGGCCTGGCTGTGCCGCGCCGGCGGCGAGGGCTGCGGGCAGGATGGCTGCGGGATGCGGGATGCGGGAGCCGGCATCGCGGGTACCCAAGCGCTGAGCCTGTTGCTATGGCAATGGGAGCTGAAGATGCAGAAAGCGGCACATCCTTTGGAGGGGGCAGGGACGGGCAGCACCCGGCAGCACCCGACCCACCTGCAGGTGCACAGCCCCATCCCTGCTGTGCGGGCCCTGGGAGGAAGGCATGCTGCCTGCAGCACCCAGGGCATGCACTTAAGTGCTCCCTGGGGTGACTGACCCAAACCTGGGTGGGACGCGAGTGTGATGAGCCAGGGAATGGGGGGATGCTCCTTCCTGCCTCCGTCCTTTGGGGCTGACCTGCCTCCATGCCTGCTGGAGCAATGCCCACAGGATGGGTGCTCCCAGCTTGCAAGGCACCCAGGCACCGTCCTGCCAGGAAAGCCTGCACTGGGTAAGAGCACCTGCCCCAGTCCTGCTCAGCATGCACCGAGTCCCAAAAGAGAAGCAGAGCACCCATGGGACACCACTGCTTGTTCCCCAGATTGGGTGAGGCTTTCCAGCCTACACCTGACTCATCCCAGCAGCTCTTCAGGCAAATGTGCCCATCCTGGCACACCTGTGTCCCCATGCCACACGACACCGGCTCTGCCGTGCCACTGTACCTGGCCAAGAGGAATGAGGGCTGTCCTGGCAGCTGCTGGAGGGGCGGTGGGCTCAGTGCCACGGGTGATCAGGGGTAGGGCTGGCCGGCGGGTGGGCAGGCAGACTGCCAGCCCTGGCAGCACAGTGCCAGGATTAGCTGGGAAGGGGACCCGGCTGGGATGATATATCGGGATTTTATTGCTGTCTCTGTGAGCACTCAGCTAATCTGCGCTCATACAATTAGTTCCCGTTGGTTTAATGGGGACCCATCCTGCCAGGACTGAGCATTGCCACCCTCTCCTGCCCCAGGCTGGCTTTGAGCAGCTCAGCGCACCTGGGATACCCTGTAAGGGAGGCTGGTACCCAGCCCAACGTCGGGGTCAGCACCTGCACCCCACGGGTGAGAGCACCCCCACCGGGGCAGGGGCAGCCAGGCAAGAGGTGGGCGAAAGTGCTCCCTCCCCGGGGTGCCGGGGGGAAGGCTCGGTGCTGCGCTGGCACCCGCACGCAGCCAGCACCCCCCTCCAAGTGTCTAATTTGGGAACAGAAGCAACAGCGGGTGTAAGACAATAGCGGGGAAGTGGGTGGCCGGGTGGGGATGGCACGGAGGGATGACGCAGCCGTGCAGCCCTCGCCAGCGGGGCCCCCCAACCCCCGACCCCCAGCTCTGCCCCACGGCGTGAGGTGCCACCGGCTGGTAT